ATTAAAAAAAAAAAAAAGGTGGGGGTATTCTCCATAGGTTTATTTTATATAAATCACGATCTGTTTTTTGGCACAATCCATGTTTCTGAAATGTACACCATATTACTGACTGCCCTACGTGGCCCTCGGTCAAGGTGGGAGACCCGGGTCACACGTTCTGTTGGAGTCGGAAGGAGCTGAGAGAAACGTACACGCCTAGTTAATCAGGACTATCTCACCTTCCTCAGATCTTAGGGTGTTTACAGAAATTGTGAGGTGGTCTCCCTGGGGACAAATTACAGTGGAATAACCCGGGGCCTCCGGGTGCCATCTTGAGCCAGAGAACACCTGCTTGTACAAGAGCAGGGTGGACCCTTCCATTTCCCTGGTCCCCACAAAGCCACTACCACTTATTCTTATCTTCCTTCTTTCCCCAGGGCATCAGAGAGACCAATTAACAGGTAGAGAACACTTACGAGTGTAAACATTACAAGATACACCTCATGTCTTAGTGTAAGGAGCTCAATTACCAAATTGGGAAGGTTTCAACAAGTCCTGAGTTCTGTTCAGTGCATTTCTCCAAATGTAAACCAGACAGTCATAAGGGCTAGTGCATTTCCTCATAATGATAACTGGAATGTATATACTCACCTTTTTTCAAAGAGCTCAAAGCAATTCACAGTCAGTGCAACAGGTATCCTTCTCGTAACTCTCTTTTAGCTAAGCGGGTATTGCTTTGCACTTCACAAATGGGAAATGAATGGGTCAAAATCACCTTGCCAATCTATGCTGGATAACTTTGACCAAGGCAAGATTAAAAGCCGATACTATTACAGTTTGTTTAGTCTTTTCTCTTAAATTATTATCTCCGAAAAGTAAGACTAGGGGCACCTGGGTGGCTCAGTTGGTTCAGCGTCTGACTTCGGCTCAGGCCATGATCTCACAGTTTATGAGTTTGAGCCCCGCATCGGGCTCTGTGCTGACAGCTCAGAGCCCAGAGACTGCTTGGATTCTCTCTCTCTCTCTTTCTCTCTCTCTGCCCTTCCCCTGTTCGCGCTCTGTCTCTGTCTCTCTCGCTCTCTCAAAAATAAATAAACATTAAAAGTTAATTAATTAAAAATTAATTAAAAAGACTAGATTTAGACCCAGGAAAAGGTTAACGTCAGTGCAGGAACCGGATATGCCTCCTCCAAAGCCATCAGAAGATGTAAAAAGAATTAGTATTCATTTTTGTTAGATCTATGCTAATTACACTCCACAATACATTGCTTAGAAGATACTCAGGTTTTTTTTAGAACATAAAGAATCCTAATAGATTATACAAAGCAAACACGCCTTCACCAACTAATAAACGAAATCCTTTAGAATCATATAAGTTCAATTCCTTATCTCTTCTAAACTTGGCGTTTTTTTTTTTTTTTTTTATAAATTTTTTTTTTCAACATTTATTTATTTTTGGGACAGAGAGAGACAGAGCATGAACGGGGGAGGGGCAGAGAGAGAGGGAGACACAGAATTTGAAACAGGCTCCAGGCTCCAAGCCATCAGCCCAGAGCCTGACGCGGGGCTCGAACTCACGGACCGCGAGATCGTGACCTGGCTGAAGTCGGACGCTTAACCGACTGCGCCACCCAGGCGAAAACTTGGCGTTTTAAATAAGAATACTAATGCGGGATTTAGGTAAATTATAGACTGTACTTAAAGGGCCCAGCAATGAGCAAGTGTTTCTTCCCAGTGTTCACATTTTGGTACATAACTTCTCAGACTTTTTCTGTGCATGTATATGCGTGTGTCGATATTTACAGGTGGATGTATCCATAAGTATTAATATACTAGTACATTATAATAACATTGTGATAATAGTCTATTTTATATATACATACTAATTAATTTTGAAAATTACAACCTTGACATATTACTGTAGAGCCCAGAGCCCCACTTCCTTTTGTGGGCTTTGGATTCAGTTGGACCTTGGTTCACATGCTATCTTCACCGTTTACTAGCCATATGCCTGGGGGAAGTAACTTAGCCACCCTATCTCTGCTTCCTCCGCTGTAAACTTAGCTACAAGATAGGATACCGCTGAGGAGGCATGCGGTGCCCGCCAGTTGATATTCAAAAAGATTGTTATTCCTCCGGCCTCTCTGCGAGCCTCTCCGACTCAAACAATCAGCTTCTTGTTCTTAGAATCCATTAATGAAAACCCCTCTATGGCTCTGAACTGCCGTTGGGCCACAGCCACTGGCTCACAGTGAGGTGACAGTGAACTCACCCTCAGTGTCCACACTTTCCACAGCCCTTAAAGTTCTCCTCCTTGACAGTTTAGCCTCTCTGTTCTCTTTCCATATCTGTTCCCACCAGTCCTCTGTTTAAGTAGTAAACCAGCCTCTGACTCCCTTTGTGACGGGAAGAACTGGGGGAAAACCCTCCCCAAGATTTTTCCTCAGAAGTTCTCTTGTTCCAAGGGCCTTGCTGGAAGCCTCTGACTCAGGGAGATTGCTTTGTGTCTTTCAAACTATCAGAACAGCAAAACGGGGCCGGGGTCTTCAAAATTAAAACAAAAATATATTTATGTGCTCTTCGAGGGGAGGAAAATTTTTGCAGTGGGAGATAGGTTATTTTATTTCCATTATGAATAAAAATTGAATACAATTATATTGCTCCTATTTATAACTATTATGGGTTTTCTGGAATATGCCATTGAGCAGAAAAGTTTGGACTGGCTGATGTTGTGGAGAGATGCCCAAGCTATACCACCTGTATTTCCTTTATTCTTTTTTTAAAAATTTTTTTTCAACGTTTTTATTTATTTATGGGACAGACAGAGACAGAGCATGAACGGGGGAGGAGCAGAGACAGAGGGAGACACAGAATCGGAAACAGGCTCCAGGCTCCGAGCCATCAGCCCAGAGCCCGATGCGGGGCTCGAACTCAGGGACCGCGAGATCGTGACCTGGCTGAAGTCGGACGCTTAACCGACTGCGCCACCCAGGCGCCCCTGTATTTCCTTTATTCTTAACCCAAACTTTTGGAAAGTTATAGCCTTATTTACCTGTATTAAAATTATTCATTGTTTTGACACTTACAAGATTTTGTAATCTAGACTCTTCATATTGACATAGCTCTTCTCTTAACTCCTTAATCATTTCTTCTCTCTCCTTCAGTCTTTTTAACAAATTACTCATTTTGATAGTAGCTGATTCTTGCACAAAAGTCTCTTCCTCCACCTCAAAGAATTGCTAGGGAGAAAAGCGGCATTAAAAAATCAGACACCAAGCGAAAACTATTTCATGTTTTATTTAAGCTACTATCTTGTAAGTTCTTTTTATCACTTGCACACAGTTTTCAGTAAGTAACTATATTTATATCGAATGATACGCTAAAGTGCCACAGAATACAGCACATCGTTATCCTATGAAACACAAAGCATAATGCGGTACTCTAACTGCACTGGCCACGCAAGTAATAACACTAAACTTCAATTGTCAATTCACATCGTGGTGCGAACGTGCTGCTTCAGTCTTCCCCTGGAAAGAAAGTAGCGCACATTTGAATATGTAAAAAGGAGCCGTAAACTTCACTGGTGTCACTAATTCCCCCAGTGCTTTGGTGTGGCGGTGTGGAGAGAAATACTATTCCTTTTCTTTCGCCCACAGAAGAGGTTTGCAGACCATGCATCTAGACAGACGAGGCTCCATTTGAAAAATCAGGAAACTGAGACCAGAGCAGAGGAAGATGTGTTACGATTGAATTTTTTTTTTTCCCCGTGGGAAGCTGTGGAAGATGAACCATTAGGTATGAGAAAGTCATCTTCAGGGTCCATGTGCATTATAAAATTATGTAATTCTAGCATATCATTTACTTCTCTCTGCATGAAAAAACAGCCATGTTTTTGCTTTTCTTAAAAAAATTGAATAAGCTGGGTTTTTTTGTGGGTTTTTTTTTTAAGTTTATTTATTTATTTTGAAAGAGAGAGAGAGAGAGAGAGAGGGAGACAGAGGATCCCAAGCAGGCTCCAGGCTCCAAGCGGTCAGCACAGAGCCTGAGGTGGGGCTCGAACTGTAGATTATGACCCCAGCTGAAGTCAGATGCTCAACGGAGCGCCTGAGCCACTCAGGCGCCCCATAAGCTGTTTTTTGATAACCCTAATCAAAAAGAAAGTAAATGAAAAATATACTCCTGAATTGGTTTGAAATGAATTTGTATATGAGTTGATACAATGCGTCATAAATGGTGTTGCCCCTATTTTAATTCATTTGACTTCATATCGTGAGCATCTCCCACACCATTAACATTTTACATGAGTATAATTACTGATGGTTCCATAACATTCTACTCCACAGAAATGCCATAATTTACACATTCATCATACTATATATATTTTAAGTTTTCCATGATACCAAATCTTTATATATACATCACTGCATTTCTAATTATTTTTTTCTTGACAGAGACCCTTAGAAGTAGAATTCCTGGCCAAAGCATATGAAGGTATTGATGGTCTTGACTCATTTTATAAATTTCTTTTCAAAAAGATTGCTCAGTTTACCCTCCACCTTGAGAATGAGGATGTTTGTCTTCCTATACTCTCTGAAAGATTATATATTGTTATTTTGTAAGTCTTACTATGACAATATATGAACATAGTGGTTTATTTTTGTATTGATCAGCCTGTTTTACTCCTTTTTCTGAAAAAGTAGTCTCTACAACCAACGTGGGCCTTGAACTCACAACCCCGAGATCGAGTGTCACGTGCTCTACCGACTGAACCAGCCGGGTGCCCCTTAATCAGCATGTTTTGATAACCATTCAAAGTGAATTTTCTTCACACGATATTAGCTGTTTATGCTTTGTGTTTTGAAAGTCCTCGATTCTAATTATACGTCCTTTTACTGAGAACTCAAAATAGTTTTAGGACTTCCACTGATCAATTTATTCATCAGTGTTATTGATCAGCTTTACTGTTTCCATTTGAATAGAAGCGCCATTTCTCCACAGTCTGTTGGGACTGGCTTCTCTGTTTACAGTCAGTAAGAACTGTATCGCAAAACCAAACTGGGAGGAAATGTTTAAAAAAGGAATGCTTTTCTTTTTTTTCTAATTTTTTTTTTTTAATGTTTATTTATTTTTGACAGAGAGAGAGAGAGACAGAGCATGAGCAGGGGAGGGGCAGAGAGGGGAGACGCGGTCAGAAGCAGGCTCAGGCTCCGAGCTGTCCTTCCTTCCGATCGGGGCTCAAACTCTGGTGTCGCTGACCCGAGCCAAGTAGGACCTCCTTGTATTCTTGGAGCCTTGCCTTGAGGAATGCTGTTTCTTATTTCTAGCATATAAAAAATCTCATTTCTACCAGAAGCCTGGGTGGCTTCAATCAGTGGTCTTTTAAGCTTCAAGTCAGGATATCACAGTTTGTGGGTTCAAGCCCCGTGTTGGGCTCTGTGCTGACAGCTCAGAGCCTGGAGCCTGCTTTCATTTATCTCTCACCCGCCCCTGCTTGACTCAGAATCTCTCTCTCTCTCAGATGAATAAACATTAAAAAAAAATCTCATTTTCAACCCTGATGTGTAAAATCCTATTGTTCATATGGGTACCCTTTTGAGAATTACAGAATTATTTTATTTTTGTCATTTGTTCACTGCTAATATATTTGAGCACATGCACAAACAGGAAATACAGGAAAACCTAATCGTATCTGCTACTACCCTTAATATTATATTTCAGAGTTAGATTTACAAACTTAAAACTCACAGACTGTGAGTTCATGACCCTGAAGTCAGGCATTATAACTAAACCCAGATGCCCCTGGGTTTCTCTTACTTTTTTTTTTTTTTCTAATGTTTTTATTTATTTTTGAGAGACAGAGAGCAAGTAGGGGAGGGGCAGTGAGAGAGGGAGACACAGAATCTGAAGCAGGCTCCAGACTCTAAGCTATCAGCACAGAGGCCGACTTGGGGCTTGAACCCACCAACCGTGAGATCATGGCCTGAGCCCAACTCCGATGTTTAAGAGACTGAGCCACCCAGGCGCCCCTATTTTACTTATAAAAAACACCAAAATAAAGATGCTTCTGAAAAGCTGGCCAGGTAGTCTCCTCTCTAACATGACACAAACCACCCCTGGACGCTCATTTAAAATCTGCCCCCAGGAACTGGGCGGAGATGCTGTGCAAACTCAGCAGGGAGCCTGCCTCTAGGAAGGGCTCGGTCCCTCTGGACTTCAGGGCAGGGAGGGTCACGCAGTTCCTTGCAAGAACAAAAGGTTTCACTTTTGACATTTCATAAAATAATTGTAAGGCCCAAACACATTGGATTCATTTCTCTTCATCTCCAGGAATGTTTCTGATGTTCGACCAACATTTATGGAATGAGCTGGACTCACGAGGAGACGAGTGGGAGGCGCTTTTATTTTTCTTCACCACCTCTCCAATCTGGTCTCCCGTCTCGTGTTTCTCCCCTCTGAGAAAAACTCTCGGGAAAGTTCCACTGCTTTTTTTGTTTTAACTCTTAAATAACAACAACAACACTGGACAGAGGAAAGAAAGACAGAAAAGAAAGCCAGTTTCAAGCCATCTCCCCCAGCACAGAATGCCACATCCAAGGGAGACCACAGGTGGGGAGGACAGGAACCTTGATGGGTAAGATTAGGCAGGAATTGGGGCATTTTATTTTTTGTTTTGGGTTTTGCTTTCTTCCTGGTACCCAGAGATCTGGTCAAACACCAGTCTAGATGTTGCTGTGAAAGTGTTTTTTTAGGTGAGATTAACATTAACATCGACAGACTGAGAAAAGCAGATTATCCTCCATAATGTGGGTGGGCCTCGTCCAATCAGTTGAAGGTCTTCGGGTCTTTGGAGAAAGACTGAGGTCCCAGAGGAAGAGGGAATCTTGTCAGTAGACTGTTTTGGGACCTGAACTGTAACACCAACCCTTCCCCAAATCTCTGGCCTGCTAGCCCACCTTGCAGATTTCAGGCTTTCTAGCCCCCACAGTCATGTGCACCAGTTCCTTAAAATCAACCTCTCGCTTCTTCGCTTCCTCTCTATACACACTGGTTCTGTTGTTTCTGGAGTCCTAACTAATCTAATATCTACATCTAAAGACCCTAAATTCACACCAACACCGTCAATTCCAACCCAACACCGTGGTGTCATTACAACCTGTCTCCTTTCCATAGCATAACCCTCTGGCAGTGAGAAAGCTGGGTCCCATGATGCCTGATGCATTGATGTGTTTGCTCAACCCTCCCTTCAGGTAACCCATTTCCTGACCACACCACACCGTGCCACCAAGAGCTTGGCTCCGAAGCAGGTGATGGGACGGGGACGGCAGAAGCACGTCTTTGGACTTTTAATTCACGATGGCAAGAAAATTTTATTGTGGGCTTCCATTCCTTTGGTCTTGCAAGAAGAGTTAATATTTGTATTTTAATTTTTCCTTCAGCCTTTGAAAGTGAGAAGGACCTAATATTCAAATCCTTGGCATTAACTGTTGGCTTTGTATTGTTAGAATAATTTGATGATGTCATTTGGTCTCATGGGCAAAGCCTCTTGACCAGCAGTATCGAACGACACAGCTGGATATAACCAGGGGTGAGAAACAGACTAGCAAATGAAGTCCCAGTAGTGGATACATAGTCACTTTGCAGCTAAATGTCGATAATGCACTCTTCTAGCTGGACGCCATACCTTCCAGGGCACCCGCGGTCTCAGGACCCCCCAGAGTAGTACGTGGTACCGGGGGGGGGGGGACAGCATCACGTAGGTGGCAGGAGGCTGTCCTCCCCACCAAGGCTCAGATACACGCCTAATTGATCACAGGCTAAACGGTGAGGATCAGTGTGTGAAAAGAAAAAGAGAAGCCCAGGGAATGTGGTTTCCTTTTATGGGCAGTGATAGCCTCCTCTCAGTTATGACCTTGGAAGAAGAAAGGTGGTCACGCTTTGGCCATCTCTCTCCTTCTCCCGTTCTCTTTGGGGCAAATGCTGCAGGAGCATCTGCTCTGCTCCGGCAGGAAGAGCCCCGCCCAGCCCAGGGCAGACTGTGATGGGAGTCGAGTCTGCCAAATTCTGAGACTTAGCACGAGGCAGCCCGCCTCACCAGCAAAGCAGATGATCTCCATCTGTTGGCTCCCTGACTTTCCTTTTCAACTTGTCCAGAACCTGGGAGGGGAAGAGCAGTGTTATTTATCAAGCATAAACACTGCGATAGTCGTTATCTTTCAAGGTGGGAAATCTAAGCATGTCG